CGCGTGTGCTCTTTGTGGTATTTTTTGCAATGGATTATCGCCGTGGACGACAGGACGTCCATGTCGAGAGGAAAAAATAAGAAAAATGTTGATTTTGTATTGTTTTTTACAGGTTAGGATGGGACCACCCGGATGCGGCCCCTAATGGCCGGCCTGAGGGGGGAGTAGGAGTATATTCTAATAAGGAATAAGGATAGGAGGAGGAGGAGGAGGAGGAGGAGGAGGAGGAGGAGGAGCAGGAGGAGCAGGAGAGAGGAGGAGGAAGAGGAGGAGGAGGAGGCGGAGGAGCAGGAGGAGGAGGAGGCGGAGGAGGAGGCCAGAGGCTTTCTTGGGACAGCCTGGGGCTCTCTTGAGGCCGTCTTGGGCCGTCCAAGGCTCATCTTGCGCCGTCTCGAAGCACTCTTGGAGGCCTCCTGGGCAATTTGGGGCTCTCCTGGGCTGTCTTGGGGCAATCTTGGAGGCCTCTTGGGGCCGTCTTGGAGCCGTCTTGGGCCGTCTTGGGGCCCTCTTCGGCCGTTATGGGACCCTCTTGGGGGCCTCTTGGGCCGTCTCGGGGCGATCTTGGGGGCCTCTTGGGCCGTCTTGGCGCGTCGGGAAGCGGAAGAGGCAAGAACGCCAAAAATTGTTAAACAAGTATTGGAAATCCATGAATTTTGCCTTTTGGGGCTCTCGTGGGAAAGCTCCTGGAGGTATCTTGGGGCGCTTTGCAGGCCTCTTGGGCCGTCTGGGGGCCGTCAAGGCGTCTTGGACAAATCGTTCGGCGATTCGGGGTTCTCTTGGATTGTCTTTGGGGCCTCTTGGGGCACTCCTGGCCCGTCTTGGGGCTTTTTTGTGCTCCCGGACTCCCCAGGGGGGCGTCTGACCCCCCCCCCCCCGGGATCCCCCCCCCCTCCCTGGCGGGGAAGGGATCGAAGGGAAGGGGCTTCCCTTCGACTCAATTACGACGTTGCTCAACTTCGCTTTGGTTGGCGCGCTGAGGAGGTCCCTGGGAAAAAGGGAACTTCGACGAGTCTAGGGAAAGGGGGAGGTAGGGACAGGGGACGACAGAGACGACGACCAACGAATGACGGAGATGACGACTTGAACGGATAAGCCCCTTACACACGCCGACAGGGTCGGCGGAATTTAATGATATTCGCCAACGGAGGTATTTAGTTTTCATGGGAATCGCGAACAGTTTGGGAGGAGGCCAGGACAAATATTTTGGCGAAGGACCCAGCCATATGCAGTTCTGAGTATCGCCGTTGTGGGTATCACCTCCGTTGGATCGCCTTATGGCGCAACGAAGTGTGTAAAGGGTGTGCCGAAGTGGGGTGGGGCCATGCGGGCGCTGTTACTGGGGCCCTGGGTATACCCCTCCTGTATGGGGCCAAGAAACGTGCGAGGGGTGTGCCAACATGGGGCGGGGCCGCCATGCGAACCCTCCCACTGGGGCCTTAGGTGGAGCTCCCCAGGGAGCCACGAAACGTACGAGGGGGTGTGCCGACATGGGCGGGGTGGACGCGAGCGAACGTCGCCACTGGGGCCTTTGACGAATCTCCCTATGGGACCACGTAGCGCGTGAGGGGTGTGCCAACATGGGGCGGGGCCTCCATGCGAACGTCGCCACTGGGGCCGCCGGTGAAGCCCCCTAGAGGGCCACGACACGGGTGAGGTGTGCGCCGAAGTGGGCGGGGAGGGGGATGGATGCGAACGTCGCCATTGGGGCCTTCGGTGGAGCTCCTTACGGGGCCAAGACAAGCTGTATTGGGTGGGGCGGACGCATGCGAACGTCACCATTGGGGCCTTCGGTGGAACTCCCTTTGGGGCCACGAAGCGCTGTACTGAGTGGGGCGGACGCATGTGAGCGTCGCCACTGGGGCCTTCGGTGGAACTCCCTATGGGCCCACAACCCGTTGTGCTGGGTGCTGCGGGCGCATGCGATCTTCGCCACTGGGACCTTCGGTGGAATTCCCTGTGGGCCCATGAACGCAGTACTGAGTGGGTCGGACGCATGCGAACGTCTCCAGTGGGGCCCTCGGTGGAACTCCCTGTGGGCCCACGACACGTTGTGCTGGGTGCGGCGGGCGCATGCGATTGTCGCCACTGGGACCTTCGGTGGAATTCCCTGTGGGCACGCAGTACTGAGTGGGGCGGATGCATGCGAACGTCGCCACTGGGGCCTTCGGTGGAACTCCCAATGGGCCCACGAAGCGATAGATTGGATGGTGCGGACGCATGCGATTCTCGCCACTGGGGCCTTCGGTGGAGCTCCCGATGGGGCCACGCAGCGCTGTGCAGGGTGGGGCGGACGCATGCGACCGTCGCCAGTGTGGCCTTCGGTGGAGCTCCCGATGGGGCCACGAAGCTTTGTACTGAGTGGGGCGGACGCATGCGAGCGTCGCCACTGGGGCCTTCGGTGGAACTTCCTATGGGCCCACAACCCGTTGTGCTGGGTGCGGCGGGCGCATGCGATCTTCGCCACTGGGGCGTTCGGTGGAGCCCCCTATAGGCGCACGGAGCGCTGTGCTGTGCGGGGCGTGCGCATGTGAATGTCTTTGCTGGCGCCTTCGGTGGAGCTCCCGATGGGGCCACGATGCGCTGTGCTGAGTTGGGCGGGCGCATGCGAACGTCGCCACTGTGGTCTTCGGTCGGCTCCTTGTGGGGTCGCGGAACGCTGAGCTGAGTGGGGCGGGCTCGCGCGAACGTCGCAACTGTGGCCTTCGGTGAAGCTCCCGATCGGGCCACGGAGCCTTGTACTGGGTGGTGCGGACGCATGCGAACGTCGCCGTTGAGGCTTTCGGTGGCTCCTCCTGGGGCCACGAAGCGCTGTACGGGGTGTTGCAGATGCACGCGAACGTCACCACTGGGGCCTTCTGTGGGGCTCCGGATGGGGCCACGACACGTTGTACTGGGTGGGGCGGGGGCATGCGATTGTCGCCACCGGTGCCTTCGGTGGAATTTCCTATGGGCCCACGAAGCGATATATTGGATGGTGCGGGCGCATGCGAACGTCACCACTGCGGCCCTCGGTGGAGGGCCACGAAACGCTGTATTGGGTGAGGCGGGCGCGTGCGAACGTCTCAAATGGGGCTTTTTGTGGAGCTCCCTATTGGGCCACGAAGCGCTGTACTGGGTGGCGCGCGCGCATGCCAACGTCGCCACTGGGGCCTTCGGTGGAGCTCCCGATGGGGCCACGACTCGCTGTGCACGAACGTCGCCACTTCGGCCTTCGGTGGAGCTCCCCATGGGGCCATGAAGCGCTGGTAGTGGGTGGGGCAGTCGCATGCGAACGCCGCCATTGTGGCAGTCGGTGAGGCTCCCCACTGAGCCACGAAACGTTGTACTGCGTGGGGCGGGCGCATGCGAGCGTCGCCACTGGGGCCTTCGCTGGGGCTCCCAATTGGGCCACGGAGCGCTGTACTGGGTGGGGCGGGCGCATGCGAACATCGCCGCTGTGGCCTTCGGTGGGGCTCCCTTGGGGACCACGACACGCTGTGCAGAGTGGTGCGGACGCATGCGATTGTCGCCATTGGGGCCTTCTGTGGGGCTCCCTATGGGACCACGAAGCGCTGTAGTGGGTGGGGCGACGTATGCGAACGTCGACATTGGGGCAGTCGGTGGAGTCCCTATGGGGGCACGAAGCGCTATACTGGGCAGGGCGGGCGTATGCGACCGTCGCCACTGGCCTTCGATGGGGCTCCCTATGGGGCCACGGAGCGCTGGACTGGGTGGTGCGGGCGCATGCGAACGTCGCCGTTGAGGCCTTCGGTGGAGCTCCCTCTATGTCCACGAAACGCCGTATTCGGGTGGGGCGGGCGCATGCGAACGTCGCCACTGGGGCTTTCGGTGAAGCTCCCCATCGGGCTACGCAGCTTGTGAGGGATGTGCCGAAGGCAAGTGTGGAGCAGAGGCACGCAGGGAAAGAGGGATGAGGATGAGTGGGAGGAGGAGAGAGGAGGGAGGAAAAGGAGGAGGAGGAGGATGAAGAGGATGAGGAAGAGGTGGGCGGGAGGGAGGGAGGGAAGGAGACGTGGGGCGCTGTCTCTTCAAAGCGAGGACCCAACACCGCAGGATGGTTGGGGAATAGTATTACACGTGGCCCCTCACAGCTTAGTATACCTAACCATCCAGTGGAGTTGGGTCCTCGTTTTGAAGGGACAGCGCCCCGTGTCCTCACGTTCCCTTTTGTCGTCCTCCTCGCATCCCTTGCTTCTGCCTTCGGCATGTCCAGGCCGGCACGCCCCTCACACGTTCCGTGGCCCCATAGGGAACTTCACCCAAGGGCCCCAGTGGCTGCGGCCGCATGCATTCACACCCATTTCGATACACCCCTCATACGTTTCCTGACCCCATTGGGAAGTTCCACAGAAGGCCCCAGTGGCTGCGACCGCATGCGCTCGCCACGCGCACACCCCTCACACGTTTCGTGGCCTCCGATGGGGGCTCCACCGAAGGCCCCAGTGGCTGCGGCCGCATGCGTCCGTCACACGCATGTCGGCGCATTCCTTACGCGCCTCGTGACCCCATCAGGGGGGTTCCACCTGAGGCTCCCAGCGGCTGCGGCCGCATGCTTCCGCCACATGTGTTGCGGCAAACTCGTCACACGTTTCGTGGCCCCAGAGTGGGCTCCACCTAAGACCACAGTGGGTGTGGCCACATGCGTCCGCCACATTGATTTCGCCACACCTTTAACATGTTTCGTGGCCCCATAGAGGGAGCTCCACCTGAGGCTCCAGTGAGTGTGCACACAGGCGCCTACCACACCCATTTCGGGACACCATCCACATGCGTCCGCCACACTATTTTTTCTGCCCCCCATCGCACGTTTCGTGGCCTCACAGGAGGCTCCACCTGAGGCCCCCGTGGCTGCGTTCACAAGCGATTCCACGCTCCATTCCGCCCCCCCCCCTCACACGTTTCGCGGTCTTTATAGTAGTCTCCACCTGAGACCACAGTGGTGTGGCCACATGCGTCCGCCACATTGATTTTTGCACCATCTTCACACGTTTCGTGGCCACATTGGGAGCTCCACCTGAGGCCCCAGTGGCTGCGGCCGCATGCGTCCGTCACGTCAAGTTCGGCCCCCCCTTCCGTAGCCATTTTGGCTCAAGTCGACGGGTCAGCAGGTGCGGTCGCATTTGCCAGCCCCCCCAAAAAACACGTGTTTGGTATAGAGACGTCTGCCAAGGGGTGAGGTACATAGATGCACGCTCGTCATGCGAGGTGGACCATCGCTGCAGGATTCGAAGACGTCATTTTGGATGTCCCCGTGGTCGATGGAACGCACAATTTAATGAAGAAGCCGCTGGCGTGCTTGGCGTCGCGAGCCAAGTTCTTCCCAACAAGGAGGCCTCCGCCATATTGTCCAAATAACGGCATCGCCGTGCGCAGTATGATGGAGCAAGGATTTCTCTTCAATGTGATCGCCCGCGTGTTGTCCGACGTCTGCGTGGTCCCCACGGCAGAAGCGGAAACACAGGCGATTGCGACGTTGTCGTTGGAACGGCACGCAGTCGCAAGTTGTGCCCACTCTTTGTCGGGCCAGCGGGGGTCTAGCAAAGAGGCGGCGGACGCCCAGCTATTCTACAGAAAGTTCCGGCAGCCTGCATCGAATTGGAGTGGATTCGGGATGGATTGCGCGAACGCGTTTCCTATCGGCCAGTTGGGCAGTCCTACTTGTTCAATCAATTCAGTAGGTGCGCACCTGAAGCCTGCAGAGCTTCTGGGCAGTTTGCAGTCGCTATCGCTGAACCGCGTTGGTTCTGATGCACTAACAGTTCCCAGACTTCGCTCGCATCGAGATCTGGTCAAAAGCACTAGTAGCCCTTGTGCGTTCGTGGTTGCCAAGGGTCAGCAAGGCTACCGAGCTGCACGGCCTGGTCACGTTGTTCTTTCTCCTGCAACGAATGCGAGAATATCGCCGATCAAGTTTGACAAGTATTCTGCCCCTCATGCGACCCGCCATGCAGATTGTGATCACCCGCTCATGGCTTGCACTTTGTTGGACACGTTGAGTTCTTTGTCGGGCAAGAGGAGCATGACCCTCAGTCAGTGCAGTCATTTGTTCGTGCACATGCGTATAGGAGACGCATGGTCAGGCAGTTATCCAGCCAACGCAGGCTTGCACCAGGGCAGCGCAACGATCTGATAGAGATCTCCAAGCCGTTTGCCATCGGTCATTGCGCAACCGCGCGTGCGAACAGCGTCAGTCAATTGTTGCGTCACCGCCGTCCACAATCTTCAACTTCCCACACGCATTTTTTTGAGGGCGCTGCGTATGACAAAGTTGTTCATCTGCGCCTCCGAGAGAACCAAACGTGTACATCGAGCTGTGCATTGATGGACAGGACCGCCCTCCTCACCCTTGATCAGGTCGGCTTGCACGCGCTGGCAACTTGCGTGTTGGATTCAGGGCTAATTTCTGAGACGTGTTTGATTGGCCATTCGATGGGGGGTTGGGTCCTGCAGCGAGCATCCCCTCTGTTGCAAATGTCCTGCGGATGTGTACGAGGAGGGTTCTTCTTGGATAGTCGCTTGCAGTATCCTCGTTTGATTTCCGACGATGACGTCGGACTTACCCTTAGAAGAAAACTTGACTTGCAGTTCCCTAGGCATGCAGGAGCCTGCTGGCTGCTTGGTTGTCAATCTACAGGATGCTTCAGGATAGCCACGCCTCATACGGAGTTGCACACTTCGGAGCATTTTTTCAATGCAGCTCATGTGACTGTTGCTGATATCATTACGCACTTGGCATTACTTACCGAACTTCCGAATACGAAATGCTTTGGCTCTGCCAGTCACAGCTGGGTTATGATACAATGTTTTGTTGATGCCTCATTGGTGATTCGACCGTACACGAGATCATAGACTTGTGTTTTGGACTCCCTTGTCGTCAGCCCGTTGCCAACAACAGTTTAAAGTGATTGACCCGTGAAATGGAGTTCCGATTGTCACCAGAAGGGACAGCAAGTTTCTATGTTGTACATGTTACATAGGCGTTATCGTTTCGCGATGTCTCAATTTATTATGTACACGAATATGCAAATAGCACCCCTACACGCTTTTGGCATGCAACGCACGTACCCTTCGCTTTCTCGTGCGCCTTAACAGTCGTTGCTTTATTTCCCTCATGGACGGCACATACATTCTTCCACCTGCGTTATCATCCACAGCCGGAGCCATGGCCATGGAGGACGCAATTGGGTTGGCAGCTAAGTATAAGAGTTTCACGGCCAAGTATGGCAAGGCACAGCGCATGTTTCACGTCTGCGTGTAGGCCTGTCACGGTATTTGGTCAGAGTCGTCGGAAAGACAAAAAACATCAAGTTCGGCCCCCTACCCGGGCACATCCTGGCACGTTTCGTGGCCCCATAGGGAGCTCCACATAAAGCCCCAGTTGTTGCGGCCGCATGCGCTCCCGCCACATTCATTTGGCGCACCCACCGCGCTTATATTCACCTCGACGGCGCTCACAACTGCACGTGGTTGGATCCTTCGCCTGGCTAGTTTTCGGGCCGGGGGGGCGCAATCAGCACACATGGTGGGGGGCTCATTTTTCCCAGCCATCCTGTGGTGTTGGGTCCTCGTTTTGAAGGGACATCGCCCCGCGTCCCCATCTGACCCTTTGCCCTCCTCCTGCTGGCCCTTGCCCCTGCCCTCCGCGTGTCCTTATCGGCACATCCCTCACCCGTTTCGCGGCTCCACGCGGAGCTTCGCCGAAGGCCCCAGCGACTGCGGCCGCACGCGTCCGCCACACTAATGTCGGAGTACCCCTCACGTTTCGTGGTCCCACACTTGGCTTCTAAACCGGCGCTGACTTTCCCGCCATCTGCACGGACCGTGCTCCCAAAAGGGGTGTTAGAAGGACCGCCTACAGTGATTGGGGAGATCCGTCGCTGTTTGGCTCATGTGTGCAAGCATCAGCTACTGCTCCAAGTTGACGGTCGTGATATTCCCTGGATGTTTGCGTTCGGCTGTCCTGTCAAGAGGAGGCCCACACGGCTTTTGGGGGCGAGGATTGGGAACTGACGAGGGCAGCCCCCCTGCGGCCGCCGAGCAGGTCCTGCCCGTCGACACCTCCAGCGCCGCTTTTTCGACGTGGCCGCCGCAGTGGACCTACTGCCCGCCGTGCGACATCCAGCTGGCGGGGCGCGAGGATGCTAGAGACGCTTCGGGCGGCGCGGCGGAGGACCCTTCACGAGGAGGATGAGGGGGAGGAGGAGGAGGAGGAGGACCAATTTGTAAAACCAAGCCGCATCAACGCTGTTGCAATAAACCCTCCCTCCAAGCTCCCTCTTCACAGGTCCCTACAACACTTCCTTTTCAGTGATGGAAGTGCCCCATTGGAAGACATCCGCTTGATAATCCCCAATCATGCTAAAACGCGATTCCTGGGATTTCAGCGCCGCGATTCAAAGTGGCTGTTGCAACCTGACAATCTAGGACCCTTCCAGAGAACTGTTCCTGGGATTTCAACGATGCGAATTCTTGAAACTGCTGCAAACAAACAGCACGAATTTCGTGGGGACAAGGCGATAATGGTACTTTCAAGAGGAGCCGCCCTCCATCCTTGCTGCAATATTATGATTATTTCCCATGGTGCTCAGGCGAGAGCCACATTTTGAAAACGACCCGCCCTCCATCCGTGAAACGGTTGCGAACTTTTTCGACGCACGTGGGTAACGCTAAGACGAGAACTACATTTTGAAATGGCCTGCCTTCCATATTTGAAGCCGTTGCGCACTCGTAAGAGGCATGTGTGCGGCGCTAAGGCCATAGGCACATGTAGAACACGGCCCGCCCTGTATCCGGTGCGCGGCGCTAAGGCGAGAGCCACATGGTGAAACGGGCCCGCCCTCCATCTATGAAACCGTTGCACATGTCAATCCTGAGGGTCATAAACGGTGAGGAAGTCTGAAACGCACGGCTCGCCCTACCGACACGTCTGGGGCTGCGACATGGGGGTGTTATGTATAAAGGTCTTAGCCGTGTGGCGGCCGACGCCAAACCTGAGCTAAAAACAAGCTTGAACCTCGAGACTTCAGCTAGAGCTTTGCAGTGCCGCTGTTTCGCTGCTAGAGCTTCAGCTTCGGATTCCGCGTGCGAGCCGAAAGTGCTTTGGGGAGGTCCAGGGAAGTGTGAAGCGCGCAGCGCCAACCACGACCACATAAACACAGTTCAATTTTCATTCCTAAAGAATGATTATAGTTGATCCCCCCTGCCCGGTAACCGTTATATTTTTCAATCTAAGTGCTTCTCTGGGGTCTCGTATCTAGCCTTTTGTAAGGAAAAGTGAGGTGTCACCAAACTGGGGCCCTTGGCCCCAACAACAACGGCTCCCGCCTGATACATCCTCACAATGTATTCCCAAATCGCGCTCTCGCGCGGGACTTCCTCACATTTTAAACAGGAATCGCGCTCTCGCGTGGGACTTCCTCTTAATTTATTCAGGCGCCGCGCCCTCGACACTCTGGAATCAAGCTTTCGTTGTGGATTTCCTCACGATTCATTTGGGAATCGCGCTATCGTTCGGGACTTCCTCGCGATTCATGCAGGACGCACGCTTCAGCAATCCGCCTCCTCGACCTGGCCGCCTGGGCCCGCCTTTCCGACCCGCCCGTTCTGGTCTACTCGACCGATTTGCCCGTTTGGTTCTGCCACGTGTTTTCTGCTCCTAGCCCCCTGCTACTTTCTTTCGTGCTCCCTCCTCCTCCTCCCTCCCCCTTGGCCCTTCCTTCCATCCGTCTTGTCTCTCCCTGCCTTGAGGGCTGCACGAAATACACGTTGCAGGTAAGAAGGATCTTCCCCGAAGGGGTCACGATCGAAGCCCAAGAGGGCGGGTATCGAGGGTTTGGGATATACGCGTTGACTGGCACGCGAGCAGGTCAGAGCGAACAATGTTTAACTGGTTGTTGTTGTCGTGGTGGTGGTGGTGATGGTCTATGTTGTTGTTGCTGCTGCTGTTGCTGTTGTGGAACTCTCACTACTGAAGAATAAGCATTGTTGATTCCCCCGTCCGGTGCACACTGTATTTTTCAATGGACGTGCCCCTCCCGGCGCTCGCACCCTGTTTTTTTCAGGGAAAGTCTTCCTCCTCAAACTGTGCCCCTGGCCCCCGGTTTACAACAACAGCGGCTCCCGCTTGATATTTCCTCGGAATTTGCTCCGGTCCCCCGCTCCCGCTTGAGACTTCCTTGCAATTTACTAAAGAATCGCGCTCCCGCCTGAGACTTCGTCGCAATTTACTCAGGCGCCGCGCTCTTGCCATTCAGGAATCGCGCGTTCGCTGGGAACGTCTTCAAATTCACTAAGGAATCGCTCTCTCGCTGGAAACTTCCTGGCTAGTCACGCAGAACTTACGATCGATCCGCCCGCTCGGCCCGCCCGTCAAGGTCATGCCTTTCGTGCCCCATGCTCGCTCGCGCCCTTTGTATCTCATTGCTGCCCTTCGTGGCCCCTCCTCTTGTGGCCCAGTCGCTTCGCTTCGTGGCCCCGATGCTGCCCTCAGTGGCCCCTCGCTGCCCTTTGTGGCCCATATATACGCCCTCCGTGGCCCCCAGTCGCTCGTGCCCTCAGTGGCCCCATTGCTGCCCTCCGTGGCCCCCTCGCTGCCCTTTGTGGCCCATATATACGCCCTTCGTGGCCCCCAGTCGCTTGTGCCCTCAGTGGCCCCATTGCTGCCCTTCGTGGCCCCAGTGTAGCCCCGTGTGCCTCCCCCCCGCTGCCTTTTGTGGCCCCCTCGTTGCCCTGTGTGGCCCATATATTTGCCCTTCGTGGCCCCCAGTCGCTCGTGCCCTCAGTTGCCCCATTACTGACCTTCGTGGTCCCGTCGTAGGCCTTTTGTGTCGCATATAGACGCCCGTCGTGGCCCACAGTCGCTTGTGCCCTCAGTGGCCCCATTGCTGCCCTTCGTGGCCCCGCTAAAGGCACCCTCCATCCTGTCATGTTGGTTTGTGTGCCCATAATGCGCCCTCGTGTCCCCGAGTCGCTCGGCCCCTCAGTGGCCCCATTGCAGCCTATCGTGGCCCCAGTGTATCCCCGTCGTGCCCCCCCCCCCCACGCTGCCTTCAGTGGCCCCCTCGTTGCCCTCGTGGCCAGCAAATAATGTTTGTCCCTTCGTGGGATCCCCATCGCCTCGTGCCGTCCGTGGCCCCATTGCTGCCTGTTCGTGGCCCCATTCTAGCCCTTTTGCCCCCCCCCCCCCCCGCTGCCCATTGTGGGCCCCGCTGCTGCCCACATTGTCCCAGACACGGTGCCCTTCGTGGCCCCCCCGTCGCTTGCGCCCTCAGTGGCCTCTTGCTGCCGTTCGTGGCCTCAGCGTGGCCCTTCGTGGCCCCAGCGTAGCCCTTCGTGGCCCCCTTGCTGCCCTCTGTGGCCCCGTTACCATTGCTGCCCTTCGTGGCCCCGCTGCTGCCCTCAGTGGCCCCCATCGCTGCTCATTATGGCCCCGTTGCTGCCCTTGGTGGCCCATGTATACGCCCTGCGTGGTCCCCGCTCGCTCGTGCCGTCAATGGCCCCATTGCTGCCCTTCGTGGCCCGGCTTCTGCCCTCAGTGGCCCCCTCGCTGCCTCTTTGTGGCCCACAAATATACGCCCTTCGTGGCCCCCCAGTCGCTCGTGCCGTCAATGGCCCCATTGCTGCCCTTCGTGGCCCCAGTGTAGCCCCGTGTGCCGCCCCCCCCCGGTGCCTTCAGTGGCCCTCTCGTTGCCCTTTGTGGTCCCATATGCTCCCTTCGTTGCCCCAAGTGGCTTGTGCCCTCTGTGGCCCCATTGCTGCCCTTTGTGGCCCCAGCGTAGCCCCGTGTGCCCCGCCCGCCGCCCATTGTGGCCCCGCTGCTGCCCTCAGTGGCTTAGACGCTGCTTTTTGTGGCCCCATAGATGCCCTTCGTGGCCTCCCGTCGCTTACGCCCTCAGTGGCCCCGTTGCCGCCCTTCGTGGCCCCAGCGTAGCCCTTCGTGGCCCCCTTGTCCTCTGTGGCCCCGTCAATGCCCTCAGTGGCCCCGTCGCTGCCTTTTGTGGCCCCCTCGCTGCCCTCAGTGGCCCCCGTCGCTGCCCATTGTGGCCCAGCTTCCCTTTGTGGCCCCGCTGCTGTCCTCAGTGGCCCAGACGCTGCCCTTCGTGGCCCCCCGTCGCTTGCGCCCTCAGTGGCCCCGTTGCCGCCCTTCGTGGCCCCAGCGTAGCCCTTCGTGGCCCCCTTGCTGCCCTCTGTGGCCCTGTTAGTGCCCTCAGTGGCCCCATTGCTGCCCTTCGTGGCCCCGCTGCTGCCCTCAGTGGTCCCCATCGCTGCCCATTGTGGCCCCGTTGCTGCCCTTGGTGGCCTATGTATACGCCCCTCGTGGCCCCCGCTCGCTCGTGCGTGA